AGACTGATGGGCAGAACCAGGATTAGAACTCTGGAGTTGTAGCCCTTGGTCCAGGGTTCTGTCCATGAGATAACACAGCCTCCCAAACGTGCTTCACCTATTTTTTTTCAGGGACACAGGGAGTACATTGATGTTGTTTCTGGGCACACCCATTGCACCCTAGTTTGACATTTTAGCACTTCACTGAAATTTGTTCCTGAATCGAATTGTTTAATTTTCTTTCCCCAGCAGGTCACTCATTGTTTTTGATGTGGTTCCTTACCATAAGAGGATTGGGCCTATTAATGTATAACTCATGCTAGTAATGTCTATTGCCATTATAATAATTGAGGGGTTTATCAAATACTTAGGGGACTCTTTCCTTGTTGTCTCTTGATGTTGATGCATGTTTCAGGAGAGTTACATCGATATTAAGAATTGGATGATGAATAAACCATATCAATAAACCACAAATGATTCAGTGATTCATCTAAATTCATAATTCAAAAACCAAAATCTGTGCCCAATCCTGCCCATCCCACTGTTGAAGCAGTTCTCACTAATTGACTTGGTTTAGCTCCTTTTCAAGGAAGTGAAGCATATTCCTGCCCACATAGATGATATAAATAACTTAGCAGAATCATAGTAACAATGATAGAACAAACATAATGCCACCTAGCTCTTACAGAACACTTCTCATCCAGAGATCTCAAAGTACTTTATAAAGGAGGTCTGTATCATTATCCCCATTTTACAGATGGAGAAACTGAGGCACAGAGAGGTGAAGTGACTTGCCCAAAGTCACCCCACAAACCAGGGTCAGAACCAGGAATTGAACCTGTGTCTCCCAAGTCCCAATCCAGTGCCCTATGTATACTATTTTGTTTCATTTATAGCACCTGGAAATGATTTGCATATTTCATTGTTTATTCTGATTTTGAAACAACCCCAATGTGACACATGGCCAGAAATCACCCTGCAGGATAAATGACCCAAATTCAACCTTTAGGGACATACTGGAAAATAATGTTTGTGTTTACATATACATTGTTAGAAGTTAACAATGTAATCAAATAGTACCTGTCTATGCTGTATTCTGTTAATTCAGAGCTCAAAATGAGATCTTAAGATTTAAATGAACTGTAAATAGAGTGAGATCACTGTATTGATCTCTTTGAAATGTATAGCAAATCACTTGCAAATGGTGGAAAACAGGCAATTGTTTTACGTTAATCAGTGTAGCTAATCACTGGTGATGCTTAGGAAATAGGTCTACTTCAAAGTCTCAATGATTGCCTATTGTTCACCAAAGGACTCTGAGCTATTAAGAGAAAACCTGAAACTGTATAAAAAAAACCCTTGGGTCCTGATCCTTTTTATCTCAGATCTGATTGATGCTTTATACCAAAGAAGCTTGAGTCATAAGACTGAGATCTCCAGTCTCACCTTGATCACCCTGGATATGAACATTGGACTATAACCTATGGACTAATTCTGAAAGAACTTTTTGCAACTACAAAGCTTGCCATCTCTACTATGAAACTAATCTCAAAACTGCACTCATGTCTGTATGTATATTGGTCTTTAACCAATGCTCTTTCTTTTTTAATAAATTTTAGTTTAATGAATGAGAATGGGCCATAAGTGTGTATTTGGGTAAGATCAGAAATACTCATTAACCTGGGAGGTAATGTGCCTGATCCTTTGGGATTGGTAGAACTTTCTTATAGGATGAATACGATTTTCAGTAATCCTCATCATATTTGACTTGGGTGTCTAGGTGGAAGCCCAAGGCTGGGTTGCTTTAAGGGAACTGTGTTTTGGCTTCTGGATAACCAATAAGGTACTATAGCTGTTTTGTGCTGACTTGGTAAATCTAAGTATTGGAATATCCACAAGCTTTGGAGATTGTCTGTCCCATTCTTTACAGTTTCCCCTAATTGAGTAACCTCAGTGTGGCTCCCCTGGGACCTCAGTCACACCATACAAAACATTTTTTTCTGCTTATATATCGTACTTAAGTAACCTATGCATGTTTGCATTTGCATCGTGGGAAATTATACAAATACGTGGTAAGTGCCATGCACCCTTTTCCTTGCAGGGGAAAGAATTAAGACAAAACTTTTTTATAGTTCCAAGAACTTTCTGATTACATATGTGGCAATGCCAGAGAAGAAGAAGGTGATTGTCATTAGATAAGAGATGTTAATTTACAAGAATATAATAGCCTACCACTTTGTAAAGAAATTCTGGAGTAGTCTGGTTTGAAGGCAATGTATTAGGCTAGCTGCTAAGAGCTGAAGCCCAGATTCTCACAAGTTATTTAGGTACCTAAGTAAGTGCCATTGTAATCAATGTGAGTTAAGCTCCTAAATATCTTTGAGGATCTGGGCCTAAATGTCACCTGAAGGAGATCTGTTCTCTTCTAGTAGTTTGTCTGGGGGAAAGACAGGGTGGTTTCTTGTCCTCCACTTAGAATCTGTAATTAGTAACCTGGATGAGGAAAAGTCAGCATGGTTACATAGTTCAGGGCATGTCCCACTGCTGTGTTCCCTGCCCCACCATGATTCTGTATATTATCCAAATGGAACCCCCAGACAATCTATAGCATGTAACGGCCAATTCAAACTTTGCATGTTAAGTTCCACTTTGGACTTCCTGAGATATGAGGAGTGGATATAAAGCAGAGAAGGGACTATAGGTGGGGTGAACTAGGGAATCCTGTCACTACACTTTTCCCTGCACTGATCATTGCATAGTATTAAAGTTTAACCAGGGACTGGTGCTGTTGAATTACTGATTATTAAATTCATACTAAACGTAAATAATCAGGCTCTGCGGAAGAAGCAGGGTGACAAAGAAGAAAGGAACCTGAATAGATGTCACAATTGGGCTTTCATGGATATTTTTACCTGTACAACTGCAAGACTTAAGCGTAGCAGTGATGTGACTATGCTGAGAATGGGCCTCCATGTATATTTTGAGATGTATTGGCCCATCTTACCCACAGACTCCACTGTAGGATCTTCTGCACTGAATGAGCAGATGGATTCAACACCTTTCAGAAAAACAAAGACGAGGGTCATGATGTCTGTATCTAGGATGGATATGTTATAAGGAAGTTTTAGCAGGCAAGTTCTCTGCTGCTATTCACTGCTAGTGCTGGCCAAGCAGCTAGTCTATAAAGGAAGATGCTTGTTACTTTGAGTAGGAGAGATGCTTTGTCAACCAGAAAAATGAAAAAGGAGAATTAGGGTGAAATCCTGGCCTCACTGATGTCAATGGCAAAACTCCCCTGAATTCAATGGGGCTGGGATTTTGCCCTTAAAGGTCTAAAGCGTAATTGTCTTATGTGGAAGAAATTGAAATACTGCTGAACAAGGGAGCAGGGAGGCATTCAGTGACTCTTCTGTACAGTTATGATGCCAGTGTCCGTACTTCCACTACTGGACACAGCACTCCAGAGAACAATATGCCAGTTTGGCCATTGATATAATGTCTCCTGAGACAGGTGTGTAGGAACACTTTGCACTTATCCAGTGTCTTTCCTCTGGGTCTCTCTTAGTGGGGGAAATAATGTGCAGAATGATCTGGCAAAGGTCACAGGCACAGGCAGTTACCGGGTAAGGAATAGAACGTCGGCCTCCTGAGTCTCAATCCTCTGCTCTAACCTGCCTCCTTCATATCACCTTATAACCAGGAATCTCATTTTTACAAACCATTAAGTCTCAGTTCGCCTTATATCACTATTTACCATACCTATTTACAGCTAATCAAAGGAAGAGGTCAAAGGACTAGAGCTGGTTGGAAGTTTTCCAACACAAGGTTTTTCTGATGGACGAGGCCACTTGGATGAAATTTAAATGGTCTGCAAGACTGTGACTGTTATGATGAAATTCCAGTGCAAACCTGCCTGGTTTCCTGCCCACTCGCCGGCCAGATTCTTGAGCAGCCCACCTGGTAGACTGATAGCGAGCCTGGGCTCCTGGCTGCAGGGCAGCCTACCAGAATGTACAGGAAGGATACAGTCCAATCTCTTGTACACTAGTGGAAATTTAGAATAATTCCACTGACTTCACTGGAGTTACACCAGCTCTACACTGGTCTGTCAGCGATCAGAATCTGTCCCTGAACATATCCATCTATATCTCATTCATCATCATCTAAACGAGTACCTCAATCTACTTGTCTGAATTCATGACAGCACAGAGATCACTTTCAAAGGTAGAAATACCCTGTCTTCCACAATACTGCATATATTTCTACTTACATATTGTATCCTGGGAACTTGACTGATATCACGTATCTACCGTAACAGAAGCATGGCATGTATGCAGCCTGAACTTAAGTGCTGTATAAGGATGACAGCAGCCAAAGCAATCTAAATTAAGGATGTCATTCATTATTTCACACCGCGCAACCTGTTCCCTACATTCACATGGTACAGAGCTGGAAAAAACAGAGCTGCACTTGACAAAATGCATTCATTCTTATGAGCTCCTTCTCAACATCCCTTTCACTGCCATGCTTGCCACAGTCTTAAAAACAAGCTTTTCCTCTCCTACAGAGCCCCCAAAAGTCAGCCAGCACCACTCCTGATTAGAAACAACTTTACTTGTCTGTGTACAACATGTTGCTGGGGCTGATAGATAATTGATAGCAAACCCTACAGATTCAGGTGATGGTTGTAATACAGAGTTTAGCTAAGAGACTTAATTCCAATAAAAAGCTACTGAGATGAAAAAAAAATCTGTATAACGACATAGCAATCATAGGAATGCAGCACCATGCTATCATGCATGATTAAAGACCTTTTAGGGCTTCAATTACATCGGGCCCCTCAATAACTGCCTGATACAGGAAATAGTCCTTACAAAGACAATCACAAATTTTAGGCATAAACTCACAGTATGAAGCTTTTAATAAATAATCTGAGTCTCACACACACCCACCCACCACCAAGCTACTGAAAATGCAGAGAGCTGCAAGCAGGTGAGAACAGTAAAGCATGCTGTCTGTACCTTAAAGGAATAGTAGAAGGATCCCCATTCCTCGTCTTCCACTACTTCAGTGAAAGTCGTTGTTTCTGTGCAAGTTACAAGTGTAAAATCCAGCCTCTCTCTGCTTCCATTTAAGCTGCTGCTGGCTTCTGTGAAACTGACTTGCATTGCTAGGTTTTGTTCTGGTTAAGTTGTTGCTGCTGTGACAGAGAGTTAAACACAGCCAAGCTCTCCTCAGAAGAGCACAGCAAAAACTACAGCTTCACTGCTCCACCACTGGCTACACGAGGCATGAGGCTTCCGTGCAGCTGAGTGATTAAAATCCAAGCTGGACGCTTTCCCCCAAACCGTCCATACTGACAGAATTCTGATGACAGCTGGCCATACACTCCTTCCAGTAGCAGCAGCAGCAGCAGCAGCCAGTAATGTACATAGTTGCACGTGGCATCATCTTGAAGCCTTGCTAATGCTTGCTTGTCCTACAGCCAAAGTTTCTAACTCTAGGAGTCAGGATTACCTGGTAAAACGTTAAGTGCCATATGATGTTATAGTCCAGCACCTTGGTTAGTCCACTCTGCATCTTAGCTCCTTATCTTTAGCACAGCCCAGTCAGTTTTTTTGCATGGACTGATTGTGTTTTAGTCACCCCTCTTGGATTATATCGCCATTGGAGAGGGGCATCCAGTTCCGTAGCACAGAGGCTGAGGAATGACAGAGCACTGGTAACTGACATGCAGATTGTGAGAAATGTTGAGTGAAGACTGATGGCCAAATCAGCAGAGAGTCAAAGGACGTTTAAATTGGCCCATTTAGACTGCAGGGCCAGGTTCTTATGTTACATTGGTGGTAGTCTGGATTAAATTTCTCTGTCGTCAGTGGCGATACTCCAGAATCACAGCATGTAATTGAGGAGATTCTGCACCCCTCCCCACACTTGAACTAAAATCTGATCTCATTTATAACACAATACATTCAAAGTAACTACCTGCTTCAGTGGCATTACTTTGCCTTCACATTGATGTAACTGAGAGCAGAATTTGGCCTATTTCAGAGTCAAACACTCACATGCCAATATGTAATTTCCCCTTTGTTACATAATCACTGATTCCAACCCTGGATTTTCAACAGTCTAGCAAAAGAAAAAAAAATCTATTTTCCATATATTTCTGTTTGGTCCCAAATTGAGTCCCTTGATTTCCCAAGGGGAGCAGGATTCTATTTCCAACACTGCCATAAATTTGCAACGTGACCTCGAGCAAGCCACTTCAGGATAGATTCCGATACCCTTACATATTTTGTGTAGTTCCTTATCTGGGCCTTGATCCAAAGTCCATTAGATCAATGGAAAAACTCTCATTTGCTTTAGTAGGCTTTCGGTAACATCCTTTGCAAGTAGTCCATTTTCAGCAGGACTATTTGAGGAGTAAGATACTACTCAACGTATGTAAGGGCAGGGAACTCTGGCCCTTAACCTCAATGTGCTTGATTTTCTTCCTTAGTAAAATGGGGATTATATTTATCTCCCTTAAATAAGTAATAGGACACTTAATTAATGTTTATAAGACTGAGATTTTCTGTTTTCAGGGGCTATAAAAGTACTTTTTGGTTTGTTTGTTTGTTTGTTTTCAATATACTTGGCTTATTTTCACCTTGCTCTTAAACACGCAGTGACTTAGGGCTACATCTTGCAATTCCTAATCATGTAAGTACTCAGTCCCATTAGTTTACTCATGCAAGGGCTTCGGGATGGTGTCTTGACACCATCCAAGCTGGTATTCACATAATTAGGGGAGTGTATGGAATCTTCCACAGGAAAAGAATGAAGTTTCTTATAAAAGCCACAATCATGACACCCAAGTCACCAGCAATTGAGTACAGCATGAATCCCTTGTCATAAGAGCCATGGAGTGTGTTTGCTAATGGGAATCTCAGACCGACGACAAAGGGGTTTTTCTAAGGCCTCAGGGGACGGTCATTCTCACATGCACAAATCCTTAACTCTTGCACCTTCCAATTTATTGAATCATAGCCCCATCAATAATCAATTAACCTAGTTTATTCTGAGCTAGTGAATGATGGGAGTGGAATGAACAGGCTCTTCTTTCAGATGAAGAATCTAAATTCTCTATAAAGACCCTAAGAAGAACTAGGGACAAAGGGGGCAGAATGAGCCCCATTGCAATAAGACCAGGCCAGCAGTGTGGGTGAGGGTAAACTTCTCGTTTGGGGAATGGTGTAATGGTAAGATTTTGATTGCTGCATTTAGATTGAGCTCTCAATTTCATTGGCCAGCAGCAATTCAGAGGAGGCATCAGCAAGAGGACATCGCACCACCGCTGACCTCATCACTCCAGGGTGTTCCATCCGGACTGATTTTTTCCGCCCCCTCACAGTGTCAGTGTGTAGCAGCAGAGGAGCAAGTAACAACTTGCTTCTCCATGCCACCAGGGCTTCACCAGCCAGGAGTTTTTCCTAGCAGAGTTTGGCCCACACCAAAGAATTTGGATCTAGGTCTGAATTTTGACCTCTTTTATCCGCAAAATTGGAGGAGCTAATATCTGGGCTCTTGTTTAACATCTCTCTCTATTTGACAACATTCTGGTAATAGAACAGAGGAATGCAGACCATCAGCAATGTGCATTTTACCCTATAGGTAAGTCTACTGAGTCTCTTGAATGTACTTTGAATAGGGAAGTGGATTCCCTGTGTGAGAAAAAGAGGAAGCTTCAGGGTCTTCCTGAGCTCACTCTGAGTGATGTGGCAGTAATATCATAGGATTTGGGGGAGGGGAGTTGAGTTGTAAGATTCCGCTCCAGGTTTTGAACACTCCAAAGTTTGGGTGTCCTGGATCCAGGGCATTTGGTTGTTCCATTCTAGGGATGTGAAAGAGCCCTGAAATTCAGGTCAAGGTCCCCATTTCAAGCCTCTGCAATGATTGGGGATGGGAGAGGGTCTTTGGATTCAGGATTTTGGCTCAGGCCCACCTCTAGCTAACATAATTCAGAGACTGAAGTGAGGCAGCTTAGTAAAAAGTGAGATGTGGATAGTGAATAAGGGTGCTACATTTCTGTAATTTAGCAGGAAGAAGACCCATGCAGTGATTGGACATGATCAGCAATGATAAGTATGCACCAAGTAACAGTATAAGAAATAAAGGGGATTATTCACAGAGGGTAATGCAATAAACAATGGCCAGATGCCATAGGGAGAAAATATTTAGCTGAGAAGTGAGGGGACATGTATTAGGAATTAGTGGAATAAACTAGCAAAAGAGGTTCCATCACTGCAGAGACAAGGCTTTAGGTAAGGCAGGAAGGAAAAAGAATTAATTCAGATGGAAGGTGGGTGCGTGAATAGACCTAAATAGCATCCTGGGGAGATAGATCAGTCAAAATGCAGCAACATCACTGTCAATGGTACAGCATTGCTGGGGTGCCATGAGGGTGATGGTGCCATGAGGGTGATGG